TCCTATCAATATGGGCCAACATTTCTAAAGAATGCTTTCAGCACCTTGTTGAATCAATGGCACGTAGAATTAAGGCAGTTCTGAAGGCGAAAGGGGGCCAAACACCGTATTAGTATGGTGTTCCTAATAATCATTTAGGTGTATATATATAAATATAAATAACCTGGGACGAAACATTCCAAACTCTACTTTTCACCTTTATGCTGATGATACTGTGATCTACTGCTCTGCACCTACTCCTGCAAAGGCTTTCGAATATCTTCAAGATGCTTTTGACAAAGTACAGGAACAACTTTGTCATCTACAACTCAGTTTAAATGCAGATAAAACAAAACTTATGTTCTTCACCACTTCAGAAACAGATAGATTAGCACTGGCCGGGAAAATTTTAATTAGAGATGGTCAACAAATAGAATTGGTATCTAATTTTAAATATCCAGGATTTTTAATTGATGACCACCTGTCTTGTAAGGAACACATTAAGTATGTAGCAAAAAAGCGGGATTTTATTATAGAAATAAATCTTGCTTTTCTTTTATGTAAAATTAAAACTGTTTGAATCAACGTTTTTGCCTGTTATTGACTAAGGTGATGTATTGTATATGGACGCATCTGCTCATTGTTTACACATGTTGGATAGTGTGTATCGTGGAGCACTGATATTTATTTGAAACAGTGGTTCTCTTACTAATCATTGTGTGCTTTATGCTAAAGTAAATTGGTCATCTTTACAAGCTTGTCGGCTTAGTCACTGGTATATGTTTATATAAAGCCATTCTGGGTAAAATTCCTTCTTATTTATCATCATTCCTGATCTGGAAGCAAGGAGGTCATAATCTTCACTCAATGGACTTTTTAAAACTGGTTGTTCTAAAAGTAAGAACTGAATTAGGAAAGAAAGCTTTAAGGTTTTCAGCACCTGACGCGTGGAACACTCTTCAAGTTGAACTTTGTCTGCAAAATTAAATACCCTTGAATGAATTTAAAGCTTTGGTAAAAACTCTGTAGTCTATGTTGTCTGTGTGCTAAGTGTATGGTTTGATTATGTTTTTATGTAATTTTATGTAAGATTTTGTACTGACACTGTGTTGCTGCTACCTTGGCCAGGTCTCCCTTGCAAAAGAGATCTCTCAATTGGACAAACCTGGTTAAATAAAGGTTAAATAAATAAAAATAAAATCAGTTTAGAATCAGTTACCTTGGAATCCATCTATCCTTTTCCATAACAAAATAGTCAGTATGAGGTCAGAGAGCTGGGAGTCTTTGGAAGAATAAAGCACAGGGCAAGGGCACCCTGGACGGGATTCAGCATTTTATATATGTGCATTAGGCTGAGTGAGAGAAATGTGCCAGAGCAGGGCTAGGGTGGAATGGTACTACAGACAACCAGACTAGACTGGCAGAAACTCTGTTAATTTTCTTCAATAGACAGACATTGAAATATGAGTAAAATTGGATTCTCAATTGTGAACATAAAGCAAGTACTGGATGTGTTGGACAAGACAGGAGAGGAAACAGGGAAATTCGTTGTTTAATAGAATTTGAAGGATTAGTTATATGTAACTTTGAGGATAATGAGGATATTTTCTTTAAATAAGAATCCTGTGAAGTTACATTTGTGTTGATCTTCATTCAACCTTTCAGATTGTTGTTTGTTGACTATTGAAATACAAATACTAGGGTGGCCCATAACTATATGACAAAAATTGTCAACTGTATGAAGCAAAAGTTTGATTTGGGGAACCTCTCTTTTGGTGACCTCATATGAGAAGAAATTTTGAGAGCAGTTTAGACAAATGTTTAGAGGTTGCACAAGTCGTTTGTCAAATAACTGTCAGGCCATGAAAACATTTGGTCATCATCTGTGGTACCTTGGGGAGGTTTTGGTCAATCTAGCATTCTTTGATACTTACAGATGCCGAGTAAATGGACACGCTCAAAAATTTGACTGAAAAAGAAGGAACTGATGAACCCCCTCACAGACTGGATGCAAAATGACACAAGAAAATCCCTGTGCTCATTTGTCACCAGCAATACAAAGTAATTCCACAAAATTCTAGGACTTTCAGGATTCAATTCAGACCTCATCTCATGCAACATGGAAAAAATATCAACATTATAAAGCTACCATGACAGTCATCAATGGCAGTGCAGAAAGAGGTGTCAGATTGATCCAGGATTATAATCAACTGTTGACCGATGATGAGGAACTGAAGCAGCTCCTTTTACAAGTCATGCAGGAAACTCGGCATCAGTATCTTGATTCTAGCAATGGACCTCATCTGGCTGGACTGTTAGATCAAATAGGCCTATCTGAATGACATACTGACAAGTTTATTTGCTAATACTACATTAAATATGTATTGAGCTTCACTGATAATTGACAACTGTCAGGGCCTGTGCCTGCAGTTTGTCAGGTTATGAAGGCTATACTCTAGGTCAATTGATGTCTGTCCGTGCAAACTGAATTGCATTTTTTTATTAAATGTTTTGGATGTTCTGTTCATTTATTTTGCATATTTTATAAATGTCTTGTGGTTGTTGTGACAAATTATTTCGACTAAATAATATGCATGACTCCCTGATTGTTTCCACATCACTTGGTGAAATGTTATCACTTGTTATTACTTGGTCAAATGTTCAAAATTTCAGGTGGTCTGCGCACAGTTTCATTAATTTTTTCACCGTTTTTTTTTCTTACAATGGGGAATGAGAATGTAGCCTTCTCTGGCATCATTTTCAAAAAAAAAGGAAAATGTTTTTTTAGCCACCCTAACAGATACAGAATAATTTAAAAATGCATTTGAATTTTTTTTTTCTCTGGATGTTCATTTCTCCTAGGGTTGGGAGGAGAGTGTGGATGCAGCTGTATCACATCTGTTGCACACGTGCCTGTCACGCAGTCCCAAAGACCAGGCCTTGAGCCTAAGCACCAGTCAGCTAAGCATGCCCAGGGACACAAGCCAACTGAAGAAGCACATTGCTTTGCTGTGTGATCGTCTAGGCAAAGGGGGGCGGCTTTCCTCAGAAGGCCACACCCACTCACCTATCATCATGCCAGGTAAGAGGTCACCTGACCTTCTCTGTGTTGGTGTCTGACTGTATTATAGTTGTGATATAGACATGGAAGCATCTATTTTTTGTACACGTGATCTTTAAGGACGTAAATTGGAGCTCCGGTTAGGGTTAGGGTTTATTCGCTGTGACACAGAGTTGAGGCCACGTGTTTCCTGTGGAGGTGACGTATTTCCGGTGGAGCTCCACTCTACAGGCGTCTGCAGCTGGACCCTTCTCAGGAAATTTGCTGCCCGCCCCACCCCCTGCGCACGAGGTAGCATGGCTGTGTCTAGCAGCAGAGCTCTGGAGCCTCTGGAGAAACACGAGGCAAAAAAGGCTTGCACACGGTCTTCCAAAGTTTGGGAATACTTCAGTCATGACACCTTTTCTGCACCTCTACTGTAGCTGACGTTAATGACGTCATTTGGTTGTGTGGGGGAGAGGATGAATTGTATTAAATGACTAACTTGAAAATAATTGCTTATCAATAAATTTATCATCAGATCAATCGAAAAATTGATTGTTAGATTAGTTGAATAATCAAATAAATAATTGCTAGATTAATCGTTTAAAGAATAATCGTTTGGGACAGCACTACTTAATTTTAATTAAAAGCAAATAAGACATCTCCTGTGTGCATCACTTCACCTATATTAAATTGCAGGTAATTTTCACCTAAGCATTCACATGGAGCTGTATGTGTAATCTCCTAGGAAGTGGATGTGACCAGCTGACCACTAATATCATGCTCAGCAGAACTTACAATTGAAAAAGACAGGATGCAAAGTTTACAAAAATGTCCTGTAAAGATCTAAGACAAAAGTTTCAGCTCACACTATCCACAACTTACTAAACCAAGAAGGTTTGTATGTTTTGGTAGACACAAAAGGAGAACACAAAAGTGTACGATCACACATGCACATATCACAGGGCCTAAATTCCAGGTGGCCTGAGACAATGCCGAGCCTGGTACGAGAGGCACCAAAGGGGGGTTACACACATAAACACACACACACACAGATAACAAGGGAGACCAGCACTCCAACTTTTATTGCCCAAAGATTTAGGGACCTACAGACAAGCAGAGTGGACCTCAAGGACAGGCATCATTTTCCTTGTGATAATATTTAGCTCTAAAGATGCTAAGTTTTTCATTCCTGCAAGTTACGAGTGATACAAATAAAAGTGGATATGGCCATTTATTTTTAAATAAATGGATAAAATTATGAGTTTGCCAATACATGGTTATGATGAATACTTTGTCTAGCAAACTATTATTGTTTTTATGTATAGAATTGTTATTTATGGAAGCCCATTTCCGCCAGTAAAAGAAAAAAAAATGAAATAGAAAGTCGAAATAACGAGATATAAAATCGAAATTACGAGATACAAAGTCATTATTATGAGATACAAATTCATAATTACGAGATAGAAAGTCATAATTACGAGATAAAAATAATCGAAATTATGAGATAGAAAGTCATAATTACGAGATACAAAGTCATAATTACGAGATAGGAAGTACGCATGCACTCTAGTCCAGCTGAAGACCTGTCTTCGCCTCATTGGCATCAATGTGGAGAGACGCAGTTCAAACGTAAGCCATTAGAAGTGGTGCTTTTAAATGTTAGATACAACTGCCAGACTGTAAATCCCTCGTTTCACTACATTATTGTTAGTTTTGCTGGACTGAGTGTCTTGATCTTATTCAAAGTTCAGCATCTCTTCCAATGTGAATAGGAACTGAATGATCCAAACCATGTGCAATTGTAGTCCTCTCCACTGCTGCTACAATATTGCACACCTATTCAACATATCTGTACATATTTTATTATTGATTGTAGTTTTCCTTCTTCTGACTGCTGATACATTTTGCATAGATTATATTCATTGTAAATATTACTGAATAGTTTTCCTCCTATTGTCTGCTTCTAAAAGTATTTGCAGAAATCTGGACACTTTTTTATATACAACTTGCTGGAGCTTAAATGCTATCTTGATATGTACATATATTCTAAGCACGTTATTTTTTGTCAGCAAAATTACTTTTTATCTCGTAATTATGAATTTGTATCTCATAATTTCGGCTTTTTATCTCGTAATTATGACTTTGCATCTCATAATTTCGACTTTTTATCTCGTAATTATGACTTCCTATCTCGTAATTTCGATTTTTTTTATCTCGTAATTACGACTTTACATCTCGTTATTTCGACTTTCTATTTCATTTTTTTTTTCTTTTACTGGCGGAAATGGGCTTCCATAGTTATTGTATTTTTATAATATCTTTTATATATAGGCTGCAGTATGCCCTTGATTTTCTTTCTTCGTGTTTAGGTTGACTAGGTAATTTAGTTCGAACCTTTAATAATTACGACTTTACATCTCGTTATTTCGACTTTCTATTTCATTTTTTTTTTCTTTTACTGGCGGAAATGGGCTTCCATAGTTATTGTATTTTTATAATATCTTTTATATATAGGCTGCAGTATGCCCTTGATTTTCTTTCTTCGTGTTTAGGTTGACTAGGTAATTTAGTTCGAACCTTTAATAATTTACTTATTGTAGCTATCCATCTTGTGGCACCATCTAACCATTATTGCTGATTACTTATGTGCTATTGCTAGCATGGTGACAAGTCCCTTTGATCTCATCAGTATCTTTTAAAGTAGGCTTTTTTTAAATCCTGCAGCTTATGCTTCTCCACAGTATGCGAGGAATGTGGAATTCTTAACAGAATAGTTCTAATCACTGTCAGTGTCACTGCATCTACAGAGCGTTGTGAATGTATCTGTGCTTATACCACTGTTGCCTGTGAGATTTTATAAAGAAAAAGTCTAGATAGGAAAAAAATACAAAAAATAAATAAATCATTACCTCATGAACTGCTTTCATTAATATCTCTATTTACATAAACACAATTTCATTTATTTTTATTTTTTTTACACTTCAGCATCTTTACACTATCCTCTAGGGAATAGGACTGTGTGTCATTCGTGATTACACAATTATGATTATTTCTTAGAGTCTGTGGATTACTTGCACTCAGATTTCACAGTCATTTTAACCTTAGCAGCATATAAATTGATGCTAATATGGAGCAACCAACATTATTTTACTAATTAGCTCATATAATTAAGTTTAAGTATATGTTTTTTTTCTTCATTTTGATATGTATGTGAATATTTCTTGAAAGCACTAGGCAGCAAATTCTAAATCTACAGCAGCAATGGGACCTTTGTGTGATAAAGTGATGTTCTTCCTGGTTTTATTTCCTTAGGGAGATGATTTATTGTTTGTTTATCTCTTCACATCTGGCCTATTCTGATTTTACTGAAAATTATTGAAATTGGTTAATAGTTTATATAAATATTTTGAAATTGACACAGTTGAGCCGCTTTGGGGGATGCTTGTCACGCCCACGGGGGGCGGGACCGGACAGGTGTAGCTCCTTCTCCACGGATGAAGGATCAGTTAAAAGGGGAGAACTAACATCATGCAAGTGCGAAGTATTGAGCTGATGAAAAGAAGCCGTGCCGAGCGATTACTTGTCTTACGATCTCCTGTACCAACCCCAGTTACCTGTTGTTGGACCTATACCTCTTGTGCCTTCCCTCCACAGCCCAGAACCCGTCCCTGACTTACCAGTCCTGCTGAGTCCTGCTCTCCTCGGGTCCCGCCGTCCTGTGTATCTTCGTCGGACTGACTCCCTGGCTGCTGACCTCCCCGCCTGTTTACCGACTTCGATTCTCACCCTACGTTTCTGTTTCTGTTTGCCATGGCTCCCCCCCGGAGAGAAGCTCCCTTGTTCGACACAGTCGCTCCTCTGCCGCGGAAGGCGGCGCTTCCCTTAACTGGGTTTGCGGGAAGCTTTCTCTCTGTTCTGTCGCTGTTTGTATTAAAGTTCAGCATTTCTCGCATTACTGGGTCCGTGCTTCTCTCCTTCCTCCACCTGACAATGCTAGTCCCTCGACTGATTTCATATTCCTTCTTAAGCCATAATGCAGTTTTATTTACCTTTGTTTTTCTTTTGGGAGTCATGCACTCATCAGAAATGTATCTTAAAGGAAGGGGAAAAACATTCTTCGAGGGAAATTGCATTTACCTGCTGCCAATGAACAGTTTGTATTTTTGGCGGCTACTTTAAGCATGCATTATGGTCCGAAGCATATATTTTATATTCTGAAATTATGACCAACAAAAAGTAATTTCCTCACCTGACAAATTGTTAAGTACTACACATCTTGATTAAAACTTCAGGTTTTTGAAATGTATAGCCAAAGATCAACAAAAATCATGTCAGCCATTTTTCCCATCTGTTATAGCACCTTGCAACCAAGAATATTCAAACAAATAGATCAGTGGCTGTCAACCTGTGGGCCATGGTGGTATGACATTCCTTATTTTAATAAGACCTTCCTGAAATAATACCCTTGCACGACATAGACAAACATGGTCTGGCCATGTTTGTGCATGTTGTGCAAGTTGTCTAGGTGTTTTTAATTGTATTTCAGCAAGGTCTTATATTTGTAATGTTTTCCATATATTGTGTACATTTCCTCTTGCAGTTTAAAAATCTGCTGTCACATCTCTCAGTTGCTTTCAGTGCATGTGCCCTGTGATGTACTGGCATTCTATCCAGTGTGTACGCCTGCCTTGTAATATTTGCGGCCTGCACACTGGTTTAGAATGATTTTTCCCATTTACTCCAGTGACAGATGATAGATGCTACATTTTCATTTTGAGATGATGTTTTTTATATAGTTTTATGAGATAAGATTAGGACTCAGCTGGCAGGTACCATCAGGCTAAGCTGAATGTGGCTTTGACTGTTGTGGAAGCAAAAACTTGGATGTGAGGAAAGTTTGGTGAGCAACCAAGTGCAAACCATGGCAAATGACTTTCGGTCTGCCTCGAAGAGAATCTGACAAACCTGAGGAGGACTTGTCCATCACTTCAGGTCACTGAAGTATAGGGATGTCACCAGAACCATCACTTACAATACCGATCGATACCATTTGGTTTGATAGTACAACAGACATTGTATTAGATTGTTAATATACTTTCAGCTCAAGAGTGACAAGTTTTATCCTGTACCACTGCACTTAATAATCTAATAAAATGTCGGTTGTACTTTCAAGCTAAATGCAAATGATTTCTTAATAAGAATTCATAAAAACATACTTTTCAAAAAACATTTGAAAACGTATTTTATTGATGTCAACTCTTGCTGCAGCAGTACATCGAACTGACAACATAAGTATAATGTATCCCCTCTAACTTCCCTTAAACAAGTTTGGAAAAATGTTGGGCCGCTATAAAGTCACTTTTATGCATTTATGTCTATACTACTTTTTAAAGTCTTATAAAGTACAAATAAACTTAATGGAGGTATGTGAAATTAGCGCTGTCATCCTGAGTGTTTTGTAGACCTGTTGTTACGATGCCCAGGGTGTTTTATGTAATGGTAGATATAAATATCTCTTCAGTTTTATTCAGCGATTTAGGTACACCTGGGATGTACGCTTTCTTCGCTCCCATAAAAAATCAAATGCTACCAAACAGACCAATCATAGTTATTGCAGTCTGCGTCGCCACAATGTAGTTACATTTCAGGGAAGGTGCACATTAGGCTATGGCGAGGGCCATTATGGTCCATGACTACACCATACTTATGGCGTCAGTTTGATTTAGAAGTATAAACCAGCTTTTACTGGTTGATCTACTTTCTAACCCTCACCTATGGTCACAAGCTATAGGTAGTGACCAAAATAATGAGGTACAAGTGCAGATACAAGTGCCAGTAATCAGCTTTCTTCACAGGGTGATTGGGCTTAAATTTAGAGAAAGGGTGAGGAGCTTGGATATCTGGGCTCAAAGTAGAGCCGTGGGTCCTCTGCATTGAAAGGAACCAGCTGAGGTGGTTTGGGCATCTGTCTAGGATGCCTCCTAGGTGCCTTCCTAGGCAGGAACTCTAGGCATGTCCAACAACAGGAGGAGACCCTGGGGTAAACGCAGAGCACTCTGAAGGGATTTTATCTCTCTCCTGGCCTGGGAATGCCTTGATATTCCCCTGGAGAAGGGAGAGATGGAGGTCTGGGCCTCTCTGCTTAGACTGCTCTCCCCATGACACAGATCCGGATAAGCAGCAGAAGGTGGATGGATGGAGTTTAGAGGGATGACTTTTTTGTGTAGTTCCAGTATGGTGTCATGTGGATAATGATAGTATTTACTCAGAATGTATTTCCTGATTTATGTCATTTTTGTCTCAGATGTGTAGAATGCTTTTTTAGTATTTTAAACACCTTTTTCAATGGGTTTTCCATCCAGATAGTGTACGAGGAATTTCACATATATTTTGTACATCCAAACATGGTATGAATTAAAGCTTAAAAGCAACACAACATAAAAATAATTTGAGGGTTTGAATACTTTTCCTGGGCACTATTTCCTGTGCAGTGCTATTTTAGCAGTAATAACATTGGTGGGTTTTCTCTCACCATCAGTTGTCTGAACGTCATTTTTTAAGATGCTTGAGCACAATCCAAATTTCAGTGGTTTCAGCTCTGCTATTTCAATCTGAGATGTCAAAAGGGAGAAAGGAACATGTTTTTAGGAAGGAATACATATCGGCCGGGATGAATTGTTCTGGTAGTTCAAATAAAAGCCATTATCACTTTGTGCTGTTTAATATTTCAGTGACCCACTTAATTCTTACTATTTTATTCTTATTTGTTTAAGTCCATCCAACGTCCATACCACTTATGCAGTACAGGCTGTCACAGATTATTTTTACTTCCTGGGCAGCCTGATTGTTTAGCGGTTAGCACTGTCGCCTTACGCCTCCACAGTTGGGGGTTTCAATTCCACCTCTTGTTCTGGGTGTGTGGAGTTCATATGTTCTCCCTGTGTTTGTACAGCTTTCCTCCCATCATTCCAAAATATGCTTCAGCTCACCACAGCCCTGTACTGGATAAGTGGTTATGGGTGATGAATCTTAAAATAATAGGTTCCAGATTGGCACCACTGCACCATCATGTCAAGCTCTTAATAGAGGTCATTTAAATTGTATACAGGGGAGCTGAAGTCTGCCTATGGCTGCCTAGTATATGAGGCAGGGCAACATCCTGAATGGGATGTAGTTTTATTTGTTTATAAATAATGTAATGCAGTGATTGTCAACTAAGTTAAAACTAAGTTTTAAATTATGCTATTCCAGACAAATTAATAGAACTAATTATTTTCTTTAATGGGTAAAAGTGATGATCTGGATTTAGTGCTTTGCAGAAATGCATCACTTTCATCTTTTCAGTAGCATGTCAGGGAGTGAGTTCAGTGAAATTTCAGTCTTCTGATATCTCATCTTGCTTTTGACATGTACAGGTTTGAGTAATGCTTGGGGTCAGAGCACAGGATTAGCCACTGTCCAGCACCCCTGGGGTTAGGGCCCTTGCTAGGGCCCACTAGTGATATGATTACTTTGCCGGCCATGGGACTCGAACTGACACCCTTCCTATCACCAGCACAGAGCCATAAACTGTTTCATCTTCAACCCAGTCCCTAATATTGGAACACTGGTCTTTCACTTGATATGCCTGTATTAAAATGACATTGGTCTTGTTTATAGTGGAGAAGATTTTTCATACATTTTTGTACTGTCCACTATATTAATTATATATTTTTATTTTTCCTAGGGGACTATGAAGCTGTTTCTGAAGTAGAATTTGAGCCTACAGAGAGACAGGTGTCAGCCACACAGTTAGTGAAGAAGAGGCAGTCAGCTAAGAAAAGCAATTCAGGTATGGCTTTGTGAAGATCACCATTCAAATTAAACCAGCAATATAACTTTGAGTTATATTGAATTAAGGTCAATATATTAGAAATATTTAAAAATAAATAAATCATAAGCCATTGGAAAGTTCAGTCTCAAACTAACTGTCAATCCAAACAAACTTCAGTATCCAGTACATTTCCCCTGGGAGTGCTATTCTCCCAGACTTTCCCAATTAGTGTCAGCTGGGTTTCATTACCAGATGTAATTGCTATGGAAACATGAAAGATCAGCTAAACTCATACGCAATTGAATTCTGTAATATTCTTTAATAATTCAAGATTCAAGAGGTTTATTTGTTTTATTTATTTATTTGAGATAATAAACTAATTTAGTTATGAAGGGTTTCTGTAAATGCATGCTAATTTACAATCAGTCTTAAGTACAAGATAACTAACTACTTAACATTACAAACCTTTCTGGAAAGCCACCCCAGAATGTGAGTTCAACCATCACGCAAGATAAAGTCCCTCGCCTCTCCATCCAGACCATCGGTGTATCTGTTATAGTTGTTATTGTTGTCATGGAAATGTTGGTCATAGTGCAAAAGAGAAATATACAGAATATTAAAAGTATGAATAATATATATGACACTTTAACACATGGATCCTTCTCAAAGTTTTTAGAAGCATTGTATGGGTGCCATACAGGAGCAGATGAAACTTTGAGGAAGATTGCCCCAAAACTGAAGCGACACCACATAGTGATTGCAAAAAAGAGCAGTTTTGACATGATTTGAGGACTTTAAGACATGAACAAAAAAACTAAGATTAAATGAAGAAATACAGGTAACCACCTAAATGGTGAGAAAGGATTCAGCAAATTGGTACGGAAGTGGTATGTGCAGTAAATTAATAGGTGTAGTTTCAGGGTTATATGTCACAACTACAGTAGGACTAGGACAATTTGGTAAAAACACATTTATTAACTTTCATGTTTCCAGTTGACATATCCAGTACTACTAGAAATTGTACAGGTTGGTGAGTGTGAGGGGAGTATAGATTAGATTAGCATAGCAGGTGACAGGCTGTCTGGGGAATATAATGCTGTCATTAACGACAGCCCCTTTTATAGTTTTCTAGGCCATTC